AGATTGAATTTGTTTTCACGCTAAAATTTGCTACAGTAAAGCGAGTGCATTATAAGTATCATTTAAACATTATATTTCAATTTGGCTTACAAATAAAATGACCCATTTAGAGTACCTGTTTTTTAACATCTGCCGCTGGCCAACATATTTGAGAACTGCTGTACTGGTATATAGCAATGTTTTATAATATATAATACATGTATTTCTTTAAAGCCTTCCTGTCGAATAATACAAATGAGATTAACAGACATATAATCTATAGTGCCAAGGAAGGGGTTGGGGGAGAGAAGAAAGAGGGCAGGTAGGGAGAATGCCTTGAGCTACAAGAGTAAAAAAACCCTATTAATAATACAAATGAAATTAACAGACATATATTTTGTAGCACCAAGGAAGGGCTGTCTCTTATACACATCTAGATGAAGAGAGCAGGTAGGGAGAATGCCTTGAGCTACAAGGGTAAAAAAACCCTATTAATAATACAAATGAAATTAACAGACATATAATTTGTAGCACCAAGGGGGGTGGGGAGAGGAAAAAGAGAGCAGGTAGGGAGAATGCCTAGAGCTACTAGGGTGAAAAAACCCTATCAAAAATATTTATTCATACTTTAAAAAGAGATTCGACTTCGAAGTTTTTCTACTAAATTGTTTCCTATATGAAGAGTTTATCTACTCTATCATTTAAATTAGACATTTACAGTAAGTACCTATAATTAGATTAGAGGAACTTTCACCTTACCCCCACCATTCCTCTGACTTTCTGCCCCACCCTACATTCCCTCTATACCCCACCTTTGGGACTCTGGCACCTGCACTGCCCCAGGACCATTCTCAACTGCCCTGCATATAATTCATCATAGATAACATCAATATGAACAAATTCTTTTCTCACAATAAATATGATGCTAAATTTGAAATCATTGGCATCATTTTAAAAAGAATACCAGAAAAATAATATCTATTGTTTCAAATTAAATCAGTGTAATCTAAACAATCAGATTTAATATTTACACTTTTTTCATTTATAATATTTGTACAGTATATTAAATATACATACTGTA